CCCGACCCCCGGGACCCATTTTAAAGGCACGGCCCCAATCAGGGTTTAAAGGGCCAGGAGCTCCGTGGGTCCCAGGGGAAGCACGCTGGAGCCCACAGGGTGCTCCGCTGCAGCGAAAGCCCTTCCTGCTCCCCCTGTCACGTGCTGACTCTCTGGCAGCAGGCTTGGCACCTTCGTGCCCATCACTGTAAGCTGGTACGCACTGCCCAGAGCAGGCACAGAGCCTGGGGGTCTGCTCCCAGACTGGCCCTACGGCACAGCCAGGCTGCCCAGTGCCTCACTATCCCCAGCTGAGAAGCAGGCATCCAGCCCAGGGACCATGGCACTGAGGCACACAGGTGGGCAGTGACCCATGCTGCTGGTGGTACCCATGCTGTGGGCATCACCATGCCTGCAGCTTCGCCAGGCTTGGCTGTCCCAGCTCCGAGGTCTTTCTGCCAGCACCTGCCCAAGGCCGAGGGATTGCAAGGGTGATGTCCACTCTCTCGCTGGCACGAGTCCTCTGAGGCGTTGCCTTTACAAGGGACATTGCCCCCCAGCCCTGGTGCTGCTCTGTGGCTCCACGGTGCTTGCCCGCAGCAGGCTCTGTGAGCGTACCACAGAGCAGGATGCGGGCAGCCACTGCCTGTGGCCCCGGCAGAGCGCCTGGCACGGTGCGCAGCCCCACAGGACACCGCTGCTCTCAAGCCAGGTTGGAGGGGGCGGGGGTCTGGACACTGTTTTGGAACTACTCGTGCAGGCACAGGGACATGGGGGGTGTGTTGGTGCCTGCCTTGCCCTGGATGCTGCGCACGCTTCCTGGTGCCAGCCGGGCACAGCGGTAAGGGCTGGGAGGGTCATGTGGGGGGCTGCCAGCGTCGGGGGTGGATGCGGTGCTTAATGGGGTGTGGGGCCATGTGACGATCCAGGGCGCAGAGCCCTCACGCCTGGCTGGGCAGCCCTGGTTACTCATTTGGGAAAGGGCACGGGTGCAGAGGCTGGGAAAAGTCTGGGCATGGAAGGAGCTGGCCATGAGTGGGGCACAGCAAGGGGGATGGCAAGGCCACAGGGGAGAGCAGGAGAGTTGGGCCAGGGGTGGACATGTTGAGGCCATGCAAGGGGGACTGTGCATCGCTGCGGGATGGGCTCCACCGCCACAAACA